GGCTCCGGCCGCCCTCCCCCCCGGCGCCCTCCCCCTGGCCGCTGGGGGGGAGAGCGGAGCCCCCACCGGGGCTCGCCGCCCTCCCCCCCCGCAGGGGTGAGGCGGCCGGAGGCTTTTTTGCCTGGGGCGGCAAAAAAGCCAGAGCCGGCCCTGGCTGCGGGGAGGGGGCGCGATAGGGCTTCCTCATTACTTCTGGCTCAGTGGTTGGAGCACTCACTTGGGAGACCCCGCCCCAGTTCAGCTCCCTCCCTCAGTCTCTCCTGTTGAAGCTTTTCCACTGTGGCTAAATAGTTTTTTTAAAAATCGTTGGTGCAGGGGACTGGGTCCTGGGTCTCCCACCTGAGTGCTCTAGTCACCAGGCTACAGAATCATTTTCATGCTCGCTCTCTCTCTCTCTCTTGCTCTCATCCAATAATTCTTTCATTAGTTATCCACAGTGGAACACCTTTGACAGGAGAGATGGAGGAACTCCCCCCCTCCATCAGAATATCCCATAGCCAACTGATTAGGGCACTCTTCTAAGAAGTGGCAGATCCCAGTTCAAATTCCATCTCTCCCTCAGGTGGAGAGGGACTTGAACTGGAAGGCCTCCTACATTCTAGGGTAGTACCCTGACCACTGGGCTCAAAGTTATAAAGGAAGTCCTAATTTCCCCACGGCCCCCAGCCATTTTGTGTAAGCTCATCTCTAGGAGCCTGATAGGGTGACCAGATGTCCCGATTTTACAGGGACAGTCCTGATTTTGGGGGCTTTTTCTTATATAGGCACCTATTACCCCGCACCCTCATCCCAATTTTTCACACTTGCCCTCTGGTCACCCTAGGGCCTGATCCGGTAAGCAGGCTCTTAGCATGCCTGCCGGATTAGGTCTTTCAGGTGAGTTAGGCAGAATGCCTATCTTCCTTCCCCAGTTTGTGAATCACTCCAAGCTTCAGGCCGGTGGGGCTGCAGTGCGCTTGCTCAGAGGCAGAAACATACATAGCTACTTAGGAACTTCTACAGCAAAAATTTAGGTGCCAAGTGATTTTAGCCAGCTATCGAATTTGGGGGTAGCAGAGCGGGAGTTTGTGAATCCCAGTGGGGCCTGATTCGGATTTAGGCACCTAAGGCTTTTTGTGAATCTAGTCCTCTGTGCCTCAGCCCCCCCATCTGTAAAATGATATTGACTTTCTCCCTTATTGTGTCCATTTAGACTGCAAGCTTTTCAGGGTAAGGACTGTCGCTTACCACGTGAATGTAAAGCACCTAACATAACAGAGCCCCAATCTCAGTCCGGTTCTCTACGCACTGCCGTAATAAGAATAACATTTCCACAAGTGGCAAACTGGTCCCAGTAAATCAGCATGATGGTACATGGCATTCACCCATGTTTCTTAGACTAGTTTGCAGCTGAGATGAAAGCTTCTTGCTTCCATGACAGGTGTGTTTCAAAAACTTCTCCCTTTTGCTAACAGAAGTTGGTCCAATGAAAGATATTACCTCATCCACCTTCTCTCTTTTCGCACTGCAATTCTAATCTACATGATTTTATGGAATAGAAAATATTATGAGTCTCCAGATTCATTCCACTGGCATATTACTGAAAGAATGCAGAGAACAAATGGTATCATGTCAACAAGGAAACACAAAACAGTCCCATATCTTAAGAAATGTACCAAATTTTGCCAATAAAATCCTCTTGCAGCATGTTTTCAGAAAGCTCTGAATAAGCTTATACTGCAGAAACTGTTAATGTGTCAGAATAGCAAACTGAATACAGTTTTGTTTTTCAGGTCATATGAATCAAATGAATGAAAGAGACAAATGGATTAAGGCTGACACACAGGATGGCACAGTGCATCTTAAAAGCCAAAGCTGGTTCCAATCCATCAAGCTGCAGGTTCCCTGAGGATGTAATAGGCCAAAGGTATTCAAAATCAAGGAACAGTGAAGGAAGATTACTGTACAGTGATGGTGAATGCTCCTTATTAAAATACAGTAAACAATACATTAAGTGAGGACTTTTTTACCCAACCTTTGTATATGTTAAATGACTGCTGTTATTTGACTGCTGTATGAAACGGGTTTTACTGTTAGTGCCTTCTACAGTTGCACAATCCTGTGTATTCAGGATTTGGGTAAAACTCGACCTGCACACCCCGCCTATTCTGAAAGCTAGTGAATTTCAAGTAAAAGTATAAAACCACGGCAAAGACCATTTTCAACACAGGTTGATGCCTGAAAATACAAGAATTTGATTTAAGCTTTGTGATGGTGCCATATTCTGTACACTGCTTTTAAATGAATTGTTATCATTTGAAATTTGTGGTTTGTGCATAATGCTGAGCATTTCCTTTTACTGAATTATTTATATAATGTGTGGGATAAAACCACTTTTAGGGTTGCAGTTCACATTTGATCATAAGTAGGCGTTTTGGCTCCTAAGAAATCAGTCTACAATTCTATGACTTACTATACTGCGCTATGTGTAAAACTGGTCATCAAGCTCCTGCACATCGAAAGCTTGAGAGCTTATTTTATGCCCTCATGAACCTCTCTCATCTGTAGCTCCACTGTCAGTAGGGGCAGCAACCCCAGAGAACCCCTTCTTTATTATACCACTGGGGATGGTAGCAGGGTGCAGTCCCAGAACATGCCCCCTTCAGTCCCCTCCTGGTTCTCCCACTAATTCGCAGCCCAGAGAACTTCAAGAGCAGGAATGTTATTTTGAGGTCTGGGTTATTAAGTCCTACAGAATATGGTCTCCTTGGGTCCTTCAGCCACAAATCTTCTTGAGGCTTCTAATTCACTTTTGTCCAGGACTTCAAGGCCCAGCTCTCCCTTCGTTCCCTCTGAGCCATGGAGCTCTGCCAATCCCTGGTCTCTCTGGAGATTTTTTTTCTCCTTTTGCCCTGGTCCTTGGACTCAAACTTCTTCCTTTTGGTTCCAGAGGCTCCACAGCCTCCTTCCTGGGGCTGTGTTGCAATTCATGGCAGGCTTCCTCAGTCCAGCAGCATCCAGGGTCTGATCCCAGTCCAAGGAGCCTCCCTTGGTCCCTGCACTGCTACGTCTCCTCAGGACTGTGGTGTAATTCATGATAAACTTCCTCAGCTCACCAAAGTCAGGTTTTGGTTCCATGCTACAGAGTCTCCCCCTGTCTCTGTGCTCCCTTCAGTTCTCACTCTCCAGACTACCTGCCTTGGAGCCACTAACCACTGCACACCTTCTCTCTGCAGTTATAACTCATCTGAGCTCTTCCTGGCTTTTATGAAGGCCATGTGTTCTTCACATTCTCACCTGAACCTGTGCCCCACAGCCTCAGATGGGAGACAGAGGGTCAGTCACAGGTAGGGACTGGATCCATCTCCCCTTAAAAGGCCAACCACCCTGTGATAGGCACTTTAGGACTAGTTATCTCTACTTGTTCTCTTTCCTTGCCGTAGCAGTTTAAATTCTTTCATCTTCCAGGATGCCGTCAGCACCACGTTAACAGCCAGCTCTGAGTTATACCTGCAGTTGAACAAAATATTGTTTGTTTAAGAAAGAGTGAAAAAACACACACTCAAAAAAGCATCTGAACTTCACTTTACATAGCCCATACCTAGAAGAGTTTCTGAGACTTACTTGCATAAAAGTTGGGAATTATGGATCTTACATATCCATATACAGTGTCCTGTTCTCTCCATCTGTAGCTCTAGCCTGTCAATGACAGAATCCCATGCATACTAAGTGTCACAATTCAGGACAACTGCCTCTGTATTCCCCTCCATGGTCAAGCAAGAGTCCCCATTCTTAGGCTCTCGGCTCCTTGGCCATCACCTCTCTTGGGCAGACACCCACATCTCTCCCTCCTGACCGGGGTTTTTCCAGGCTGCACATTTCCCTGCCTATACTTCGTTATTCCCAGCAAGCCAGACTGCCTAAACAGGCCAGTGTCTGCACTTTGCTTTCCTTAGAGGCTATAAACAGCAAGATTGCGCACAGCTGTACATCACCACACAGCCATTTCTAAACAATCACATTTATTCTTAGGGGGAAAGCATTACAGAGAAAACATGTTAAAAACAATAAAAGAATCCACACGCATGCTAATAAGCTTACCAGAGATCAGAGACACACACCCTCCAGCTGGGGCTCTGGTAGGAGTCAGTCCTTGAGGCTCTCCCCACAGAGGGTTTTTCTGTGGTAACAAGTTCATAACAGCTTTAGCTCAGAACAAGCCCTCCCTATGAATAGGTTAGCTTTTCCTTCATACAGCTTGGTCTTTGATCTTCAGATTCCAGGATCAGGTAATCAACACGTCAGAGTCTAGCTTTAAAAGGCTGGGTTTTTGCATAACTAGAGGTGGGAAATTTACATTCACCTCCCTCTAGAGATTCCTCAGGAAATACATAACACTTTTTGTCCAAAAGTCCATTCTTGTCTGATCCACTGTTCAATACAGTCCTTTGGCATTCATAACTTTTGCATTTAATACAATGGGCTCCAAAGCTACTTAAACTTAGTTCAGTAAGGTTTTTTCCCAAAAATATTGCAAGAAATTGCCATGTCTGTCACTGTAAACCCACACAATCCCTGTCTATTCCTTGGCTTCCTGAAAGACATCTTTTCTGGACCCCCTCTTCTGGCCTTCAAACAACCCCCTAATCTCTCCAAAATCATAATCAGAAGCAAGCTCCCTATAGACCAAGGGTTGTCTACCCTGCAATATTATGTCGATCTAAGTTACGTGGATGTTCAACCACCGCAGTAATTAAATCACTTTTGCATGTCTACACTATGCTCCTTGTGGCAGCGGTGCGCTTCCTCACCAGGAACGCTTGCACCGATTTAACTGTCGGTGTGGGGCATTGTGGGATGGCTTCTGACTGACACTCCACTACATCGAGCTAAGCACTACGCCTCTTGTGGAGGTGGAGTTATTAAGTTGGTGTAGCAGGTGCGTTATGTTGGCAGGAGTGACATTTTTGTGTCAATGCTTACAGAGTTGGGTCGATATAAGCTGCCTTGCATTGACCTAGCCCTGTAGTGTAGACCAGGGCCAAGACACAGCAACTCAGACCAGCACCAGACCCTGCCAGAACAACAGATGCAAAACCTGCAGACATATCTCCACTGCTACAATGATTAGCACTCTCCACAACACACCTTTCAAGATTGATGGGTCCTACACATGCCTATCATGTGTAGTGTACCTCATCCAGTGCATTAAATGCCCCAATAGCAACTATCTGGGTGAAACCAGACAATCACTATGCTCTAGAATAAACTCACACAGGAAAATTATAAAGGACAAACACACCATATCCCCTGCAGGCGAACGATCACTCCGTACCTACCCTATCAGTCCTCAGCCTCAAAGGAAAGTTGCACAACACTTTCAAAAGATGAGCCTGAAAGCTTAAATTCATAACTTTGACAGACACTAAAAATCACGGACTGAACAGAGACACTGGATTTATGGCTTATTGCAACAGTCTGTAACTCACTAACTCCCCACCCTACAGCTGCTTCCCCCCAATCCTTTCTTCCATATGACTGGAGTGGTGTTAATTGGCCACTTCATCTTGAATGGTCTCTTGAAATATGTGTTAACTACTTATGCTAAACAGTCTGTTCCATCTTGTATTGAACTATGACACTCTGGCTCTGGGTGTGTTTCCCAGACCTGAAGAAGAGCTCTATGTAAGCTCGAAAGCTTGTCTCCGGGCAAGTCTATACTACAAAATTAAGTTGACCTAAGTTATGTCAATGTACAGCTGCTACAGTAATTAAATCGCTTTTGCATGTGCACACTATGCTCCTTGTGTCCGCGGTATGCATCCTCAGTAGCAGCACTTGCATTGATTCAGAGAGCAGTGCATTGTGGGTAGCTAACCCACTGTGCAACTTGCCACCATCTAGCGCAGGGTGTTTTGGCAAGGGTTTTCAATGCCTCAGGGGGGCAAACAAGTCATGCAGAGGTGACTGGGAACATGGGTTCAATGTCCCAAGATGCAGTTTTCTCCATCCCTTAATTATATCTGCATCTCATAATGTTTCATGCCTCTTTTCAAAAGCCCCACAAACCTATGCAGCCGCCATCTGTGAGAGAAGCATGGATCCTGCACAGCTCTGCACTATTGTGATGAGCGTTGTGAGCATGGCACGCCTGATCCTGCAGTATTTGCAGAGCAACCAGAGGAGCCTAGGAGAACATGACTATTCCTTGGAGGCTAACTTGCTGTGGGACATAAAAAGAAACAATTCAAGGCTGTTGTTGGCATTCACGGAGCAGCTGCAGGTGGTGGAGCACTGATTCTGGGCCCAAGAAACAAGCACTGATTGTTATGTAGGTACGGGCTGACGAGCAGTGGCTGCAGAACTTTCGACTGTGCAAGGCCACATTCCTTGATGTATGTGCAGAGCTTGCTCCAGAGCAGTGACACCAAAATGAGAGCTGCACTGACAGTGGAGAAGCAACTGGCGATTGTGTGGAAGCTCGCAACACCGGACTACTACTGGTCAGTGGGGAATCAATTTGGAGCTGGGAAGTCCACCGTAGAGATTGCTGTGAGGCAAGTGTGCAGGGCCATTAATTGCCTCCTGCTATGCAGGACACTGACTCTGGGCAATCTGCAAGACATACTGGATAGTTTTGCAGCAAAGGGGTTCCCAAATTGCCTGGGGGCAATAGATGGCACACATATCCCTATTTTGGTACCAGACCACCTTGCCGCAGAGTACATCAACAGAAAGGGCTACTTTTCTATGGTATATTGCAAGTGCTTGTGGATCACCAGAGATGTTTTACCCACATCAATGTGGGATGGTCAGGGAAGGTGCAAGACACAAGCATCTATAAGAACACAGGACTGTTCAGAAAGCTGCAAGCAGGGACTTTCTTTCCAGACCAGCGGATTACCATTGAGGATGTTGAAATGCCAGTAATGATCTGGGGTGACCCAGCCTACCCCTTACTCCCGTGGCTCATGAAGCCATACACTGGCCACCTCAACAGCAGCAAAGAACACTCAGGGGTGAAAGTAACTTAAGGGACTTACCGGTACACAGGGCCGGGGTCCTGAGCAAGGTGGTGGGCGGGGCCTTTAAATCCCCGAGCCCTTTAAATCGCCGCTGAAGGGCCGGGGCTCCCGGCTGCCACTGCTACCCCCGGGGGCAGCTTCCCCAGGCCAGCAATTTAAAATAGCCCTGGGCTCCTGGCACTGAAAAAATATCCCAATGGTTATAGCTGCCTGCTGTGCGCTTCATAATAGCTGTGAAGCAAAGGCGGGAAGTTTCCGCTGGAGTGGAGGGCAGAGGTGGAATGGCTGTCCACTGATTTTGAGCAGCCAGATACCAGGGCTATAAGAACTGCTCAGTGGGAAGGCTTTGAAAGACCATTTTAATAGTGAGTAATGTGTGTTGCTGTAGTGCACTCTGCCTGGCACTGGCTTTTTGCACCCCGGTACGAACCTTGTAATGAGGGCTGTGTGTGTAGTAATATAACATTGCAAATGCACCTCTTGCTGTTATCGCTGAATGATGTCAGCCCCAGCCTGCATATGTTGTGAACTAATAAAGATTAATTAAGTTTCCATAAATAGACTTTTATTCCAAATCCAGGCAAACAGATGTATTTATAACTTAATGAAACTTTATGAATGCAGGGACAAGAACCTTTGAAGGGGAAAGAACAGTCATTTTCAGTTCACAAACACATACACCAACCATGTCTCTCATAGGTCAGTGTACGTGCAGCTATGATTCTCTATGATTGTCTCCCCTGGGGTGGAGTGGTAGTGCAACGGCCCTGGACGCCATGTGCAATGTGGGGCATGTGTGTAGAGAGGTCCCGGAATGCAGTTCTCTATGGGCTATAGAGGGAGGCGAGCATGGAGCTTTTGAACCTGAAGGTGAACAAGAGTCTCCAGCATGTCTGTTTGCCACTTGAGAAGCACTAGCATCTCACACTGCACATCTCTCTCATTTTCCTGTGCTTTTCTCCTCTCCGCTCTATCTCTCTCCATTCTGTCCATGAGTGTGATCCACCAAGCCCTGTGCTTGGTATGCGAAGCACCAGAGGCTTCCAGGATCTCTTGGAACATGTCATCCTGCGTCCTCTTCCTTATCCTCCTTGTCTGGCTGAGCCGCTCCGCTGGTGTGGATAAAGAGATCCTCAAGGCCACATTTCCAGCTGCAAAAGATACGATGTACAGAGGTACTATTGTGAGTGTATTCACAAGATAAATGGAAAGTTTGTATACTGAACTCACGCCCCTGGATCCACACAAGGTACAAGCACTACATTCTCACTTCTCCTTGGGATTCAGAGAACATGGTGGCAGTCCCAGCCATGGCGAGTAGGGCCCAGGGGGAGGGGGCGACTTGGGAAAATAATGGGGGGGTAGCTCATGGGCATGAGTAGATGCGGATAGGGCAATTGAACTGAATACTGGCACCATTTTCACAGGCGGTGGTGATTGTAGCTGATATCTCACTTCTGAGGGTAATGGAGGCTGAAAGGGAACAGCTCCTGCATGTATCCAGCTGCAGACTGGGTCCAAATGTTGCTAGCCTGTGTGCTGCAATGGTGCTTGCTGAAGTAATTGTTGACCGGCGTGGGAAAGTGTTCTACTGCAGCGGAAGAAACAAGGCAGCCCTCCCCAGAGACTTTCGGCAGACAATTGCAGAGGACCTCCTGGAACATTTTCTCAAGGTCTGTATGGAGGATTCACAGGACATCCTGGTGTACATAAACAAGCTGCTCCGCATGTCTCCTTCTGCCTAACTGTAGAGGGGAATGAGAAGCAGATAGCAACTCTACCTCTATTGGTTATTTCACTACGTCTTCTATCGTGATTAAAAAAGAGTAAATGTACAGATGTCCCTTTAATATCAAAGCAAACTCCATACTTCCCAGAGGTTCCTTCCCCTGCATCAGGCTCACCTGTGCTGGACTGTCGGGACTGCCTGGGCTGCTCTGGAGTCAAAAACAGGTCCTGGTTCACTGCACCACTGCATCCCCTATTCTCCTGTCCCCCATACTCCTCCTCCTCTTCCTTGTCCAAAACCACCTCCCCACTGTTCACTCTCAGAGCCTGTGACTCTGACTCCTCCTAAGCATCCACGGATAGCATGTAGCTCTTTGTAAAAGCAACATGTCTGCAGTTTTGCACCAGTGTGACTGTTAGCCTCCCTTGCCTTCTGGTACACCTGCTGCAGCTCCTTGGCTTTCACGCGTCACTGCTCACATCCCTCTTGTAGCCCTTCTCCCCCAGGCCACAAGCGATCTGCTCGTAGATATTGACATGTCTATGGCTGGATTGGAGCTGTGTCTGCCCAGCCTCTTCTCCCCACAGACCCAGGGGATCCACCACCTCCTGTGTACTCCAGGCAGGAGCGTGGCTGCAGTGTGAAGCAGGCATGGTCAGCAGGGCAGTTGCTAGGTGAGCTCTCCATGCTGAGCAAACAGGAAATGGAATTTCAAAAATGTGCGGGGATTTAGAGGGGAGGGGCGTATACCTGTGTATCTTGCTGCCAGGCAGTGGAGTTCAAAATGGTGACCAGAGTGGTCACAGGGGGGCATTGTGGGACACCTCCTGGAGGCCACTAAAGTTGACGTAAGTAAGGCAGTGTTTACACTGACACTGCGTCAACCTGACTGTGTCGACTAAGCGCTACACCTCTCAGTGGCAGTTAGGCACCAAGGTGCCTAGTAGGATTTTCAAAAGCCCCAAGCTGTAGCTTTAACAATCTGGCCTTAAGTAACGTGAAGAAACACATTTTTAGAATGAGAAGCCTGAATGGGCAATTACTGCAATGCATGTGCAAGTGACCATTTGAAGGCACAAATACACTATTTGCATATGCAGTGGGGGGGGAGTGTCATACCAATATTTGTCCTTGATATGAACTAATTCTGTGGGGTGCTGAATTTCCAGATTTTTGTGAGAACTCAGGGTTCTTGTCCCCTCATGGGGGCAAGCCCTAGTCAGACCCTCTCGATAAATAAGAACACCACACGCATAGCTTCTTTATTAGTTAGATATCGTGAAAGTATAAATACTGCTTTGCCAGCTGCATAAATGCTGCTCACACCTGGAAGATGATGAACACATCTGAAATTTCACTAGATTGAGTCAGCATCTGAAAGCTCACTAAAAAATTAAGCTAGCAATTTCATGTCTTTGCACAGTAATTGTGAATGCGGGCAGCAGTATTGCTGCTAAGAAGATTTGGAATAAACTCTCCACAATTCAACTCGAAAATCCGCTTTATTAAATGACTATTTTAGAAACAGGAACTTGCTGTTTCATTTTTACACTCTCTACTGAAGAAAACTTGAAGCACAGAAGATGTTATGCAGCTTCTTTGTTTTCATTCTGGTACAAGGCTTTAGCTTTTTCAGGTCCTGTTTTGGGTTTCTTGGTGAGGGGGAGTACACCTCCACCGCTATCATACCCAAGCCATGCAGGAGGGTCGGCATCATTATATTCCTGCTTCTCTAGCTTGGCTGAATATTTCAAAACAGCTTGTCTGAAACAAAAATGAAAATTAATATTGGTGCACAAGCAATTTCCAGCAAGAACATTTGTAAAAAATATGAGCCCTCAGGGCCAGATTCTCAGAGTGACCATATTCCCTACCCCACTATGCCGTTTGAGAAGCAGCAGTTGATACAATAATGGTCTTAGCTTCAAATTCTATCCTGGTCAAAATAACTATTTCACGCTCTATGAAACGTGCAGTACTGTGGGTGGCTCTATGGGTCATGCTGTTATTTGGGCAGCTCCAGATGAGTTGAGGGTGTTAGTGTGAGGTCACATGCTCAGCTGCTGGTGGGGAGCAGACATTGTGGAGTGCTCTCAAGTGACAGCTCTAGCTGATGCTGAGCTAGCATGCATGGTTCCAGACACAGGTCTGGCCTAGCCTTCCTTGGCCCTGCGGAAGTTCCAAGGACACAGCCTTTGGTTTGGGGTTCGGGAAGGGGGGGGGGGAGATGACATGCCCCAGTACATTTTTCAGTACAGGGTATATACAGTTAGTCTGTATAGAAGGGCTGGCCAAACTTACTGACCCTCCAAGCTGCATATGACAATCTTCAGAAGTTTGAGAGCCAGGGCGCACCTGCTCAGAGCTTCAGCCCCGCAGGAGGTGCCTGCTGGGGCTCAGGGCTTCAGCCCTGCTCCCGCTGAAGCCCTGAGCCCTGGCAGGTGCACCCCGCTGGGCAGAAGCCCCAAGACACACACACCCTGCCCGCTGGGCAGAAGCCGCTATCCCACTACCCCGCTGCAAGGCAGAGGTCCCAAGCAGGGACTGTCTCCTTGTAGAGCGCCTTGCACAATGGGGCCCCCAGTATGATTGGGGTCTCTGAGTGCTCTCCCTATATTAAGAGGTTTAGATTGTGCTACTGCCCAAAGTGTGCAAGGCACTTTATAAACACAGAAGGAGGCACCATCTATGCCCAAAAGAGCATCGAATCTAAAGGGACACACAGGGAAATGTTTCCGCCCTACAGGCAAAGAGATCAGGGTGGTGGTCGGCGGATTACATTATTTTGTTTGGTTTTCAGTTGAATACAGTAACTTCTCCTCTAACCAACATCCAACCCTCACCCCTACTCCATTCCTCACAACCACCTCCAGCTTTATGTCCAGGATCCTTATGCGTTCACCCAGCATTTACATTTCTTCCCTCCAATATAAAAGAGCCATTCACTCATACAAGTATAATAAATAAGATGGTGATGTAGGTGCATGTTTTGGTGTTAGGTATTGGCTTTAGGCAGGATTTGAATGTGGAGAGGGCCAGTGGGTTTCTTCACCAGCTCAGGGAAGGAATCCCATACATAGGGGCAACATGGAAGGAAGTGGGAAGATGGCTGTGGGAGAAACAGGCAAATGCAGCATTGTGAGTGGCATCATTAGCAGCAGAAAAGGGAACGGGTGGCTGATGCAATAAGAGACAAGGTTGGCTAAGCAGGAAGAATTCCTTTCTGACCACAAAAGCACATTTTAAAGATCCAACATTACATCATTTAGTTGATAACACATTCCTGTTAACAAGATGAACACAATAGTATACAAGTGTTTTTATGCAAGCAAACCTAGGATACAGATGAACCCATGTGCAGATGTATATGGTGGGTGAGAGAATATAGCTATCTAGTACAAATGCCACTTGTCCAGGTCTGCTTTCTCTTTGCTTATGGAAAATTGCTTTCAATGGATGATATGTAAAGGGTGGATCTTACTGCACCATAGTAGCTATTACTACTTTTTTGGAGGCTTATGCTGCTCCGTGACTGGAGCCAAAATCGACCAGCTTGCCAGAAGTGGCCATTATTTATCGGCAGGGCCGGCTCCAGGCACCAGCTTCTCAAGCAGGTGCTTGGGGCGGCCGTTCCGGACAGGGGC